CACACCAAAAAAAAGGATAAAAAAAAAAAAAAAAAAAAAAAAAAACAGATATGTATTTCGGATACCGTATGCAACTATATTTCTTTTTTGTAGTAAAGGTTTAGTTATCTTAAACTTAACATTAATTGTTATAGTTTCTTATATGAACCGAGTATAGTTATTGTTTGTACAAAATTTATTTTGAAAGTTGTTCAAATTGATTTTCTCACTCTTCATTCACGAATGTCTCATATTGACAATAATGATATTTTGTTACTTCATATGTTAACTTTCAATGATTATTTTATTAACAATGCAAAATATATTATTTAATTAAATATTTGATTAGATAAATGGAAAATAATATGTTATATACGAATGCGTGTATGGGCATGTCAAAGGATTGAGTCATCCTTTGTGATACTATCTAGGGACGCGTATAGCCCACAAAAGGTGACTTACTCTTATGAGTTAGATTTGGAAAACATTACTGAGATGATTGTCTTTTAAAGGTACAATTAGATAGTACTTTTGTGATGAGTGTTTATATAAAGTAATTAAAGTACTTAAAATAATAAGAAATATAATATTTGATGATTATATATTTTTTTATTAATGGCAAGCTCTAATCTATTTCATTTGATTGTACGAATGAGAAAGTTATAATATTGTGTACAAAGCCTTACATGCATATTGATTTCTAGTTATTGAATTACCATAATTTAAAATATATTTAGCCACTAAATTATTTAACTCACATAATAATTGATGAATATTTTACGAAAATTTCTTTCAAGTTAAATGGGTGAAAGGAGAGAATCTGTTTATAGCCTTTGAGGTTGCTTTTTTATGACTTAGAGATTTATATTGGTGAATTTGATAAATATAAGTTAAAGAAAAATTTATGTCTGACAGTTTGTTTTCACTTCGATTTTCCATATTGTTAGGCTGGCTTGTGTGAGAGCTTATGTATTTATGCTGGACCAAAAGATCAAAAAATAATGGATGAATTGCTTTTTTTTTGGATCTACTCAACTTGAGATCGGATAAGACCAACCCAGATTTTGCTTGGCTTGAGATCAAATCAAATGGCTTCGAGCCAAACTTAGGTTGAGTTTAAATTGGCTTGATATCAAATCGTTATAGAGCAACTCATGAGTTTGTATCACGGCTTCTTTTGTTAAATCCAATACACCAAATTTATTTAAAACTTTTTTCTTTTGATGCACTAACCATATAAACATTGTTCTAACTTTTTCCAGAACAGAAGATCTATATAGAGTAACTTTTAGTAGATTTGCGTGTAAACACTGAGGGTTTGGGGTAGTGGAGTCTTGCTGTTATGGTCAATGATCATGTGTGCTATGTTGTTGAATCCTATGAACTTACTGAGCACCTGATGTTGCTGGCAGAAATTTCTTCTCTTCCTGTCTTTCTCCCTGTCTGAAGTTTGTATCTTTCATTAAATTTCTTGCTTCCACAAGGGCCATCATCATGATGGCTAGCATTGTCAGTGTATGGAATCGGTATATGAGTCATTATCCTTCCTTTTTTCATTTTTTATGGTTGCAATTTTCCTTTGTTAAATAGTTGGCTGATCAGAACTGCTTTATGAAGACATCGTTCCAACTATTCTTACAGAAATGCTGTTTGGTATTAATTCATTTTTGCTATAAATATCCTTCACCAGCTACTTTGTGTACTCCTACTTGAATATTTGTCGTCACTATCATATTCTCTTCCACCAGCTTCTTTTGACTATTTTCACTTAAAAGCCTATTCCTCGTTCTTGGTTGACTAGGAAATTACTAATGAGATGCAACCTAGAGAACTACTTAGTTTAAGTTAATCCTGTAAAAAAAGTCACGCATGGATTTGGCGCCTTTTTTTCTGAACTGCATGAAAAAACCTCTGTTGCTTTTCATGTAAAAAAGCTTGAATTTATGGAATTCTGATTATTCCATGGTGTGATCTGTACCCAAGGTTTCATTCTATAGGAGTTCATGGAGTACAAGTTGCATTAGCACATGACCTTGTTCTCCTCAGTTCATCATAATAACACTTCCGTATTCTATCCATTTCCATTGTTATATTTCTTATAAAGAAGATATCTTTTTTCTCCATTTTTTTATTGTGATCCGTGATGTCTGTACCTTTTTTTGCTTTTCATTTATGAATTGTATTCGTTCAAGGTTTGACATTAGGTTTTGCGTCATACTCCCCCATCTTAATTCTTATCAAATGTTGCATTTGGTGTTTTTTCTTTTATAAAATTTTTACTTACCAACATTCAAACCTTTTGGTCATAGCTTCCTTTTAAGATGTTGCTGTTTATGCTTCATTTTCTTGAACCTCATATCCTTCTGGGATTTATGTCTTTGTTCGTTACCCATATTCTATTGCTGATTTAATAATTACTCATTGAATTGGTTGCTGATTTGTTGATAGCACTCCCCGTGCAGCTATTTTTTTTTTTGGTTGACAAATATGGAGATGATATTTTCCAACACAATTAGTATCTGGAGGGCCTTCTAGCTTGCAAACAGTACAAGCCATTCAACATGCTTCCAATACCTTTTGGCGAGCAGACCAAGTGCACGAACATTTAAGGAACTTGCAGGAAACTCTTCATCTATTAAAATCAGTGTATGTATTTATGGTGTCATATTTGATCACAAAACACATGTTATATTTATCTGAGGCACATTGGAGATTAGGTCAGCCAGGCCCTTTCTCATAGGCATGATCTAATTAATTATTTTTTTTTAAATTTGTGTTCATTGGCAGGCAGAAAGAACTAGAGGGGATTTATTTAATCAAGAGATCCAATTGTACCGGTGAAGCTGATGGATTTCCTTTTAATCAACTGAAAGGAAAGAACTTACTTTCTTCTCCATTTGATTCTTTTGGGAATGAAATGTTTTCTGAGTTAGCTGAGATAATCACAGAGAAAAAAATTTGTCCTGAAGTACAAGAATCTCTTGCTTTAGAAGCTGCAAACTCATTAATGGCAACCTTAAAAAGCCAACTTGCCCCATTTAATGCTATCTCCAGTGAGACAAGTCAATGGGAGGATAAGTCCATGGCAATTTGGTTAGCTCAAAAACAGCAGAAGTACAAGAGGAATAAGCATTGGAAAAAGAGAAAAAGAAAACAGGTTGCAGAGCTGCTGCGGAAGGTTGCTTGCGTCTGACTTTTAGATTATGCAGTTATTCCTTTCTGAAAGATTGTAAAAATTTGCATATCCTACCTTTTTAAAAGCATGCTGGCAAATTTGGTTGTTGCACATCCTACCTTACTAAAAGCATGCTGGTAAATTTGGTTGTTGCATGCTATTCCTTAAATATTTAAATCTATGATTATGATGGCTGTTTTGGTGATTTACTTGTGCCCAATAGGAGTACGATGGATATGATAAGGTGGATGAAGAGGCTGATGAGTGGAGAGCAAGAGAGATTGCCAAGGACATTGCAAAGCGCAAGGTACAACTATCATTATTTGTAGATGTTAGTTTTTATATGTGATAAAATATCTGGATATTTGCTTTTGTAAATAGCTACAAGCCATCAATTAATTTGAATTGACTTGTACCTTGATGTGCTCATGCTGAAAAGATTCACAAATAATCTTCTTTTAAAAACATTGTTTATATTCATAGATTCCTGTACATTGTTCATGAACTGATTATCATTAAGTCACAGAACTATTCCACTCTCTTATGAAATTGTTGTTCTTTTATTGTAAGGCCTCTAATATCCACAACTTCTATCAAATGCAAAGTCAAGATCTCAGGCATGCGGGTTCCGAAAATAAGCCCCCTGAACTCTCTAAAAGTGAATGAGGAAGAGAGCTTTACATTATGCTCTAGCCTTCCAGGTCAAATTTTTAGAAAACAAATGAGATAGTAATAGGACACCACTCACATATTTCATGGTTTTTTAATGATGACTTTTCAGATGTGAAGTTCGAGCTTTCCCATAGGAGGAGTAAGCTTTTATGGTTAACTACCCATCTCGATAAGGGGAGAATACTTTCTATTATGATTAGTCATTATGATGCTGATTACTCAACATATAGTATCAGTGAATTTAGGATTTTAGATTGAAAAGTTTATCATTGCGAGCTTAAGAGTGCATGGTAGAGGGAATGATAACAAACCCAACCAAAATTTCTTGTTTTTGTCGTTGTGGGTTTACTTAGACAAGGAGCCGACTCAACTTAATAGAAGGATCTATTTTAGGAGCATGGGTTGCTTCGTCCAATGAAATTTTGTAGACTTGGGTTGGTGTTTGTCTGAGGGGACTAATTTGAACCAATCTTAACTAACATAAAGAGGCCTAAATTATTTGGAAACTTATGGGCTGTAATCATGATTGTAATATAGTGGAGCATATTGGTCAAATCACTAGGTCAGAGAGCTTTGGTTGTAATCTCTTCATGTGTGGAGCTATTGGGCCAAACCACTTCGATAAGGGACTTGGGTCACACTCTTATTGGTGCAGTTTATCTTGAGTGTTACTATAATGCTATATTTAATACGATATTAACTATTTGTGAGTTTAGGTTAATCATAAATTTATCTTCATTGACAAATGATTTTGAGAAGTGAATGAGATTTGCTATAAGTTTCAATTAATGAATATATTATGATTTGAAAATTTAAATTTATGAATAAATCTCTCCAGTTTAAATGTATGATTAATATGCAGATTATCCGAGATTTAGGTAATTTTGTATCTTGTCTATTTTATCTGGCTTATAAAAGATCAAACTTATAACTTCAATAAATTGAGTTTATTCACGTTTTTTTAGCATAATTTTGAAGATAAACTAATTCAGTTTAGATTCATAATCAACAAAGCTACCATCGAAGAATTGATTAAAGAATATTTTAAATGCTTATAATTGTCATTTACCTAAAAAATATTATTTAATCATCTTTAAAAGCATTAATTCTATTTCCTTTTGTCCTTAAAGGAGGAGGATTGAATTGACGGAGGTCAGACTTTTATTTTAACTTTGCCCAATAGATGAGTAGCCCATTCGAGAGCGTGTGCAAGTTGATAGTTTTGAATTTATCTTTTTTTTTGAAAAGTGAGATTTTCATAAAACTGAGATGGTTTGCACATTTATCAAGATGGATTATATTTAGCTTAAATCTATATTCTTTTTTCGTAGTATTCTTAGATCTTATGATTGAGCATTTAGGGGGTGTTTGGTAGCATACTTTTAATAGGATTTAGCGACGAATTTCATCTAAATCTAGCTAAACACCAAAAAGAGGGAAAACCAAACCCAACTCTTTGTCAAATTCAATTTTCTTCCGTTATGTTTTTTTTTCCTCGTCCGATCTCCTCTGCTACGTAAATTTATATTTAACAAATCCGACTATCAGGCGAATTACATGGATTTACGTCGCCATTTCTCGCGTGCTTTCTCTCCCTCGTAAACTAACTGAATTTCGCCGATATGATAAATCCTATTAACGTAAATCTGTGGCAACTACCAAACACCGCCTTAACATGTTAGTTGGAACATCTCTCTATGCATTTGCACAACACACTTATATGATTTTTGATGCATTTATAGAAAAAATAATGCAGTGCAATTGCATACTTTTCAATGTATTTGAATGGTTGTCTGGAGATGCGAGCACCTAATCTATATTTTAAAATGTTTGTCTTCTGTCCGCTTGTAAGAATCTAGCAAATCCACTGGCGTGATGTACAAATTAATAATTAATTTACATTTGCCCTTATACATATCTTGAGCAGTTAAGTAATTGGAGAGTTAATCTTAGTGGAATCAAGTTATTGTTTCTTCTTTATAATTTTAATTTAACATTCAAGAAAAAAAATAAATTTCTTTAGAATTATCATCTATGTGATTGTTCTCTCCTTGAAGATAAATTTGATTATTGAATGATTGTTTTTCATTAAATGTGACATGTTTTTTATATAAGATTTTTTTTCTTATTCTTTTATTTTTTTATGGATAATAGCATTTGTTTCTTTTTTGAATGAGTGTGTGAATATCTCGGAAGATAAACTTAAGTGTTGCATGGTTTAAGATATCCTATTGCTATTAATAAATGTGTACTTAAGACAACCAGATGCTTTTGGAGGAATTGTTTGAATAAATTACTCTGGGAAAAAAATTAATGTGGTAGTTAAGGGGACATTTGAAATCATTTACTCTAGAAATTGTCATATTAGTCAACTATATTGAGGTCTGGATGGTTTCTTCACAATATTTTTATGAATCTTATTTAAGAAGAAAAGAGCTGTGGGAACATCAAGAAGATGTTTATTTGTTTTATGATGTGTTGTTTTGAATTTGGTGAATAATATATTTTTTGATGAAGAAAAGGCACAAAATTTGGTTAAAATAATCTTGGGCTTATTGTTCCTAATTCTCTTGAAGTTGAATCAAATTTGATCTTTTATCATAGTAATAAAGTTTGGAGAATATGTGATTGACATTGTATTTTTATTTGATAATGCAATTCCATGTCATTTGAGTACATTCGTCTATAAATATTATAGATTCTTTAGCTTCAGAGATATAAAAGTTTTTTAAGGTCCCCAAATAGCAGTTTTAATCAACATGAAAGGAGTAGATATTGAGATTCACTCAAAGGAAAGCATACCTTATGATGTTTTGCAATCTTGTTAGGACATATGTGTGAGAATTTGAAAAGATTGATGGTTTAATTAATAATAATGTCACAACCAGTGTCCTTATTAAAAGCAACCATGAGGGAAAAGGATGAATGATTGTTTCAACATTGCTGGTTCAAGTAGTTGTAGCCCAAATTTTTCTAGCTTGCTGAATATTCTTTCCCGCAGTTAAGTTCTGAATAATACTATGATCAATAAAGAATATCAGCTTGAAATTTTGATCCTGGGTTCTTTTACGAATAGGTAAAGAGTTTCCAATAAGATGAGGGGCATCTAAAATGTTTTTGAGACCAAATGAAGGAAGAATGAACTATTACTTGCAATAGTGGTTAAGGAGCCGTCAACTATTTTTATGTTTCTATTTTTTAGTTTGGGTTGATAGGTTTGAAAGATAAGCATCACTTTACCATGTAGTTACTTGGCACCAAAGTCAATTACTTAGGTATTGTAGGAACTATTTTAGGCGTTAAAAGTACAGAAGATTAGAAGTCTCACCATGTTAGGATGGAGAGCTTGACTCATATGGCTTTGCTAGAGATTTGAGAAGATCACTTAGCCTGTTAATTCCTTCAAAGCGGAATCCTCTAATCTTTATAAAATGAGTTTATCCTTTTGATTATCTTTTTGTATATCCGCCACAGGCTTGAGGTCTCCCATGTAGTTGTCAATAATTATCTTTGTTTGCTCTTTCTTGTAATAGCTACACCACAATTTTTTTTTTTTGGGTGGAATTTCCGTCCTTCATTTTTGGAGGATTCAGTTGTAATCAATTATCCACTCTCAGTTTCTAGGGCTATCATAGGTGACTCTTACGGGCTGTGTTTCTAATGGAACCCTCTTTTTCAGGCCATACAAGGGATAAACTTCAATATAAAAGGCCATGATCTTCCTGCTCAAAATTTGGATGCGAACCTAATCAAATTCTATATTTAAATCTACAAGAAACTCAAAAGTTCCTTTCTCTCAATATATATATATATATTCTTATATATATATATTATTTATATATATATTATTTATATATATATTTTTTAAAATCATAATATGATCACTATATTTCAACTTGAGATCTCGGTAGTAATCTAAATCTAACTAGAAAATCTTCAATGAATTAAAATATTCAATGAAGAATATATTGCCTTGTTCGGTGGTTGAGAGTTTTTCTTGATCTAAATCTAACTAGAAAATCTTCAATGAATTAAAATTTTCAAAGAAGAATATATTGCCTTGTTCGGTGGTTGAGAGTTTGTCTTGATCTTATAGATGCGGGTAATATCTTTGACTTTTGAGTTTTTATGTCTCATGACTTCTCAAATTTCATTTGCTTTGTGAGTAATGTACACGTCCCACTGAATTAGGGTGATATGGGTTTCATAGCAATCACATGATCATTGGGTCTCCTTCGTGCTGAAGTTCAAGTCTTAATATTTATGATTAGGAGGAGGTTCAAGTCAATGAAGCTTCCATGATTTTCGCAATTTAAGACCACTTAGGTAAATTCATTCATTCAAACAGTAGCTTTTTGATCTTATTAGCTACGGTTAAGCTCCACTAAAACAAGCAAAACATACCTAAAGTAAATTTTAACATTTATTGGTTTTTCACAAAATTTGCATAGAACACACACACATACATATATATACATACTCCCATATTAAATTAGTCGAGTGGTTGATTCAGTTTGGAGTTGTCATTCTTGAATTACAAATATTAGTAATCAAAATATTAGATCTTATATGGTTGTCATCAGTGTGTGAACAAAATTGTAGTGTGTGTATATACATACAACAACAAAAAGAAGC